GGCCTCGCTTGCGGTGCACTCCGCGGTCGCCTGACCGCCGCCGCTGTTTGGGTCCGCAACAGAAGGAGGACCGAGGAAATCGACGAGATCGCGCATACCAACTGCCAAGGTCCGTGCGCGCATCCCTGCCAGACAAAAAAGCCTCACGCCACACGCACAACCTTCTGCACCCTACGCCCTGGCATCGCTTCTGCGCGCATCCGCGGCACGAGCCCTAATCGCCCGCCGCGTGTCGTCACAGTTCGCCTTTCGAGTTTCCCGGTTCGACGAAAGGTAACGATGGAGGAAGCACAATAATAGGCGGCACCGCGTGCGAGACGGAGCGGCACACGACGGCCGTCGCGTACCCTTTTGCTCCGTCCTACCGCCACCGACCAATAGCCTTCGCCATCCGTCCATCCGAGGCTCCCAGCTCCGAGAGGCTGAGCTGCCACGTCCGGCGGGAACATCATCGTCGCAAGGAATGATCAGCGCGTCCCGTTCTTGGGTGTGCGCGGCCGGGCTTCTTGTTCGCGAAAAGCTTGAAGGCTTTTTTGTCTCCTGCTGCGGAGTCTGCTGCCGTTATGATGAAAAGGCTATCCCGCTCACGTACAACCCGGTTTTGCCGCGCGACAACAAGACAAATTTTGTGGCAGCTCCACCATTTCTCCATCCGACGCTGCACGCTTTGGTCAGTGTTGCCTGTACGACAGCGTCCATCAATTTCTCTGGGCGGCGGGGAGTTGGCCTGCCTGGGCGCTCCGACGGTGGGTTCATTGACAGCAGGGAGTTTCCCTGCAAGCATGTTGGAATGTCTCCCGCACTACAGTATGCAGAAAGATTTATCTGAGCGAAAAACATTTCGGCCTTCAACAAACGTCCGACGCCTGATTCCCCGCATGTACACAAAGTGAACGACTGCAGGGTGCATCACGTCCCCGCGCGGCGGACCGTCGCACCTTCCGGGCGTGCACATCCCAGCATCCTCGAGTCCCAACATCCCCGAGGAGACAGATCGCGCGTCGGGCTGAGCGTTCACCCGCGACGTGTCGTCAGGCCCATCTGTCTGTCACTCGCGCCAGCACAGATCGCCTTGACAACCTGCGCACTGCGAGAGCCCGACAACAGTCCGCGTATAGCAGGCGGTATGGGCGCATCCTGCCCGCACGTCCGCGCAGGCGTTTGCATTGCAGACATCCTGAGTGACGAGAACCCTGATAGCGCGCGTTTGTTGTGGCGTATCTCGTCTGCACAGTCATCCTTGTGCGCGATATTGAATCATGATTCACCGCGCGAAACCCTGAATTCCTGGGGTGCAATTAGCCTTCAGAGTTGCGTCGCCCCCCAGCCCCGCGCGCACACGCTGGCTGCAAGGGACATGGGAGAGTACGTGCCTTGTGAGCGTGCGCCCCTGAATGTGTGTGTGTGCGAGCTAGCTTCCATGGGCCGATAAGGGCTCCCTTCTATTAGTTCTGCTTCCGCGACTGGCGGGAGCCAAACGAATGTGGTACTTGGCTAGTCCCAGCGATCGGTGGCGGCGCCACAAGTGGCCATGCAGCCTGTGCCATTCAGGCGCCCCCGCTCAGCGGTCGGACAGAACCCCAGTCTCAGATTTGTCCCGCGAGAGATGCGCGCGCAGGCGTGCCCCATGCAGCCCTGCCCAGACATCCAGCGGGCCCCGGCAAGTCCCGCGCGCCGGGTGCGCCCGCCCAGAGAGGAAGGTGGTGTAGTGGACGTCGCGGGGACGCAGCGCAAAGGCGGACGCGGGCGACAGGGGGTTTTGCATGGCCCCCTCCCATCTAGATGTGTGCAGGGCAGGGCGACGACGCGGTGAGTGTGGGCACCGTGGGCCCTAGGTTCGGGGCCCATGCGGACGGCGAGCGCAGGGGCACAGCCAAGACGATCTCTCGGAGTGAGACTCGCTACGCGAATAGGAGCGGGACGATCATGGCGGTATATGCGATCGTCATAGGAGTAGCGAGCTTTTGGGCTTCCCTTCGACCCGCGCGTGGCCTTTCCATCGGACGCTTCCATTGCCGCGGTCTCGTCCTTTGCGTCCTTCGAGCCCTCCTGAGTAGCCCTCCCTGACGTGGCCCGCTTCTCGTCGCCGCAAATACGCCGGCGGGGCGACATGCTTCCTGCGAGTCGGCCGCCCCCCTGGCCTGGATCGTGTCCAGGAGTGCGTGTGCGTGTGCACGCGCGCAGAAAGGTTGATAACGGAAGAATCCTGCAGGGCTGATGTTCGCTTGCCGTGGGCAAAGAGGGCTACGGTGGCCGAAGACGCGTATACGAGGGTGCCCAGGCGGGGCCGCCAGAACTCTCGCGAACCTGAGCCCTACAGGCCTACAGGCTCGTGTGTTGCCCAAAGCTCGACAATGACGATGAGCGTCGAAACCTTGCGTCGCGTTCGAGAAGGCGGCCCCATCAGAAGGGCGGGTGCGCGAAGCCTTGGTGCGAAGAGGACCCGTGTCGCAATGAGGCTTGCGCAGATGCCCAGGATGTCTGGTTCTTGCCGACGGGACGACGCACCGCAGTGTGGCCGTGACGTCACGCTTGTGTGCCATGGGAGGCACGGAAAACTGTGTCATCGGCATGAGAGGGCGGGCTGAACGCGGCGGAAAACAGGTGGTGTTCAGTGCGAAAATTCCAATGGATAGAGAAGACACGCACAGACGTTTCGACGCTGCACAATGAGAAAGCATGCCAGCGAAAATGAAACATGACATTACAGCTCGTTCCCCGTATGGCAGAATTTGAATTGAGTTGGGAGCAGTGTGCTCTCTGCCATGGCGGTATTCAGTCCCCTTATCGTGGCGTCTGTACATGTTCGGCTTAAGCGATAGCTCGATCCAATGTTTTCGAGCCTTAGGACCAAATATGGCTTCAATAGCATGAGACGACTTGGAGGGGTTACAGGCATCGGGCGAACAGTGCACGCTTCGGTGGAAACTATCTGATACAGGATTGGACGGTATTAGTGAATGGCTGTAGAGAAAAGATACGCTAAGCAATACAAGGAAGGAAGTCGTACAGATCACGGAAAGGCACAGCGGCAAAGATTAGTTCAGTTTGACAGTATCATCAATCATGTAGACGACGCCATTTGCTGCCTAGACGTGAGCGGGTCAGTGTCGCAAGAAGTCCTGTCAGCCAGCCCTGGGATCAAACTGACCTGCTTGGCAGCGATGATGTGCGTATCATCGTCTAGAATGACATGCGCCCACTCTGGCGACTCTGGTTGGCCAGCGGCCTCCCTGAAGGTCACAGACTTCCCGTCGAGCAACGTGGGATGGGCACCGGGAGATAGCACAAGGGGATGTTCCTATATGTGGCGAGCGAGGATCATGAGCGTGACATCAGGCGCAGTGTGGCGAGAACCTACGGGGATAATGTGTGCCGAAACCCAGCGCACGACGTTCTCCTTAGACCGTGCGTCGAGCTCTTCGTCCGTGATGACAACGCCGGTGTCCTCGGGTGGCGCAGCGCCCTGGTGCCTGTTGCCCAATGGCAGCGAATCAGCTCGGTCTCCGTATGGCAGAAATTGACCGGCGCGTCGAGGCGGCACTCACGGCTTGCGGGTCAGGGCCATGACAGCCTTATTGGTCGGCACAAGCAGGGTCAGTCGCGAATCGTTATCAGCGAAGCCCTTGCTAAGCTCGACTTCGCGCGCGTAAGAATAGAAAATCGACGCAGACGGCTCGATTGTGAGCAAGTCCGCGAGCGTGGGCTTCTCGTTCGTCAGCGGTGTGTAAACATCAGGCATATCTGTAGAGCCGAGGGGGATCTGCTCTTGTGCACTGATAAACGACACGCAAGATAGAACGAGTGCAGAGAACAAGGCAAAGCGCATCGTGGTTGAAGCGTGTTATGGTGGTCGGGAACTTGTGCGAGCTGCGCTTGCCAAAATAGGTAAGCTTGGGCTTGGAGCACTGCAGGTAAATAACGTAATCTAAACCAATAACCTCTTATTTATCATGGAAACTATGTCTTAATCGGTTACTTGAAATACAGCGGGCACTTACGCTGAAACTTCAGTCATGGCTGAAGTCGTGGATGAAGTATCTTTGGAGACGTTCGCATATAAATTGGACGGACGCACCATCCATGTACCTTTTGCTCTATGTGCATGTTCTCCCTGCATGCCTAACTGTCGTTGTGGCCCTTCATAGCTCTCGCTCTGAGGCTGCGAAATTCTCCTGAAAAACAACTGCCAGTGTAGTCTCATGAAGGCGTTACCCACCTCTCGCGCTAAACAGGCTGCAGCTGAGCATCTGTTCTGTATGGTCTAGTCTTCCGCATCTCCAGCCTCAGTGTTCGACGGTATCGTGAGCGGAAGGCTCGATACGGCCAATAAAAACCAACACCGTCTCTGGAGCCTCGCTTGCTCTACAGCACCCAACGTGACCCATAGTTGACAGCAGTGGGTAAACCACCATTTGAACCTACTCTTGGGACGGTACTAATGATCTTGATGAATACATAGCCCGATAATCCCGCGCTGGGGGTTGATTTTTTTTTTTTTGCAGTCTTTCCGTTGCCGATTGAGCAAGGAGAATGCTCAAGAACGCGCTAGAGTGACGACAAAACTCCACAGCCCGCTCTCCTTACCCCCGTGCGCCCGTCTCTTCTCTCGGGCAATCCAAGTAAACAGTCGTTCCACGCTGTCTTTAGGATGCACTGAACGCTCATGGCGTAAGTCAGGGTTGTCTACAGCCAGACCCTTAGGCTGTCGGGAGGATCATAGGGCCTTATTTCAAGAACGGCGTCAGCATATGGGAGATCTATGCTGCCAGTAACTCTGAGATCGAGATGTAAGTGCTCCGCTCAGCTGTGTAGCGTGAAACGCGTGTTTGACGCGTCCCTGCTCAGGAGACGCGTCACCCAAGAGCTTAGCTGGTACCGCATCGATCTCATCACCGAGATCACTACCTAGATTGTCTTTGGTGCGCGCACTGGTTCCAGCGACAAGGGACTAGATTGCAAGCGGTGAGTGCCAAGCATGCTAGTAACACGCTGGACGTGATTTCATGACACTCGTGTGATTGCAGTATCGTCGAAGGCACAGAGGCGTCACCGGAGCGCCTTGGTCTGGACTACGTCGATGTGATTTTCGCTTACCGTCCCGACTTAACCGGTGCGCTACCATCTCTTCATGTCGCTGAAACCGTGCACGTACTGACACCGAGGCTTAGTGCCCGTAGATCAAGTCGTTCGTGCACTCAGTTGGGTCATAGAGAAGGGCTGGGTGCGTCTCGTTCAACCCCTTTCTGTCTTAGACCTGTACTGACACGCTTTCCAGTCTTTCTACTGAGCGACTTAGGAATACGAAGAGGCGCGCCGTATGTCCTGGCTTCCCGCATCCGTATCACATTCGGACATACGTGGTTGCCGGGATGCCACTGACATGGCCACGAGACTCAACCTCGTCCCGTCCGATCGCCGAGCAATGCAGGCACCAGCGTGTACCTCTTCGAAAGCCAACCTTATCAGTTGCACAGCAGGTACTGACGCACGACACCGCAGCATACTGCATCGCGAGCGGCCCGAGGAAGGATATGTGCAAGTACCGGCCGATCGATGCACGGGTTCCTAGGAACGCTTCGCTCACACAGAGACCAGGTCCCTGTACAAGCGCTACGATCTCGGGACCACAGGCTGGTCCGCTCTTATGAGAGGTCCCTTGACAGGCAAGGTATGGCGCCACGTCAGCTGACGCCACTTTCTAACATGACAACGGCGTTCCGTCGGATTCGCGTTTCATTCAGCACGAGGATATTTAGAACACGCTCGACAACAGCCTCATCCAGGCGGAGGGTCTCCGGAAGATCAAGAGAGCAAAGCGCTCACCGAGCCCGCTGAGAAAGGTCGGCGGCTTTCGTTCTCCGTGATACCGTGTGTTATCGGCGCGGAAGCTGACATACACGTGTATGTTTCCAACAGGATTCAGATGAAGCACTGCGTCTCAGCTTGCACTGGCCTCGGTCGCGAAGCTCCCGGCGAAGGGTACGGTCATTCTCGGTGCGGCCGAGCCTGAGCAGCTGCTCAAGGTCATTCCCAAGTTTCCACCTGAGATCTCGGAAAAGGTCCTCCAGAACAGGTTTGCGCTTACGGTACGAACAAACTACCATCCTGAATCTACACACGGTAATGAACTTTTGTCTCACAGCCTACCTGGGATGCCGTGCACTCTATTATAAGTACGGCATGCAGTAGAGTTCATGGATGTGCTTATAGACTTGGTTAGTGGATCCGTTCAACGCTGCTTAATCTTTTATCCTTGCTATGAATACTACCTTGTGTCTGAAACCCCGACTTCACGGAACAACTGGCACAACGGAACTGTCGTTGTTGGCACAGCACGACTTCTCATTCCCAGACTCATTCTTCTAGAGTTCACACCAAATATGCAGCTTGTTCTGCCCGCGCACGCGGTTTTTCCATCTTTACGTGTATGATAGTGTTGTGTGGCGCAAGCTCGTGTACGGACCCTTCCCACACTGTTTGCCAAAAACGACCCTAGGCGGGACCCTGAGCAGAGCATGATACACAGATTTCTACTTCTCAGACATGTTGTCAACCACATGCATGGGACTTGAGACCTCCCGGACAACCTGAACACAGGCGTTCATTAACGGTCTTTAACCGCATTGGCTCAAGAGGCCTGAGCTCATCAAACATACGCTGTACGTACGCGGCAACCCGCCCGGCGAACGAGCCGTCTGTACGCGCGTTTTTTCGAACATCGGACCCTTGTCAGGAAGCGAGGCAATTGATAGGTGTGCTGCCCGACGCCCACCTGCCACGGCCACACGTGCGCACTCGGACAATCATGTCCCACTGAACTCGCCCTTCGCGGGAGGACTGGACGTGCGGTTGTATTTCCGCTGGCCCCTGCATGCCGGCAGGGGCGTCGAGAAGATAGGCCGGCACAGCGAGGGCCCTACGTCGTACACACCTTCTAGGGAGGCCGCGCGGCCGGGCGAAAACCAAAGATCTCTTCGCGAGCCTGTGCAACCACTTCCTTGCCCCGCGGGTGGGAGGCCCCCGGGCCCGCACCGCGTCTGGTGCGGGTCGTCGCCAGGGATAGCATGACGGAGCCGTCGTGAAGTACTTGTGAGCGTGCTTCTGCACGCGATGTCACCAGGGCTCCACAGGCGAGAACCCAGGCAAGTGCTTCCTGGGCTTACGTACCTGCGTGTCGAGCCAGCAAATGTCCCACAGAGAACGCTTCGACACACGACGTCCCTGAGGCGGAACTTCGCTCCGCACTCACGTCGCCACCAAGATTGTTCGACTTCAAGAGCACACAAAAAAAACTCGGAGGCTTCTGAGCACGAACAGAAGCAAGTGTAGATTGTGTGGATGTTAACGAATATCGGAGTCCAACAGTCCCATCTAGCGACCAGTGATGACGAGTCTCTAGTAGTCCCAACGCGTGAAACACATCCCGAGAGAGAAACCGCCTCAGACACGCATGTTCCTGAGCCTCTCCGTGGCGTCGTTCACCGCAGCAGCAGCAGCAGCAGCAGCAGAGTGGCCGCCGCGCCTCGACGCGCTGCCACGCCCGTCCGCAGGCTGCAGCCCGCTCATCTTCCGCTGTCGGCCGCCGCCGGGCGAGGGCTGGAAGTAGTCCGCCGATCGCGGACTGTCCTGGTCCTGCGGCGCGTTCGGCGTGTTCGGCGTGTTCGGCGTGTTCGGGGTCAGATTCGGCGAGATGCTCGGCGACATGGACGGCGAGTGCGCGAAGAGCAGCGGCGAGGGCAGCTGAAGGCCGTACATCGCGACGACAGGCGTGCCCACCGTCACTCCGGGGCTCGCGGGCACGCCTGTCAAGCCCGGGGGGCGGCGGCTCGCGTTGCGCATGATGTTCTGTTGGAAGCGCGCCCGCGCAGATTCGGGACCTTCGTGTGCTCCGGGTCGAGCAGCATTTGGAGCGCGAGCAGCGTCAGAAGGCGTCGTTCCCTGCATTGTGCAACGGCACCTGGACGTCGACGCTGAGCGACTGCAGAGTTCGCCAGGTAGTTATCGACGCTTTGGCACGCGGCTTTCCG